AGCCTCTTTTGAACGTCATACAGGATGGCACAATAGCTGCCCTGTCTAGGGCACATGGGGCAGAGTACCATAAAAGAGTACAGAAAAATAAACAACAGAAAGATATTTAATGAGATGCGAGGCTAATCTAATGATCAGTTATGAGTTTGGGACGAATCGACGCATGCCCACATTCAGGATTCAACAAGCAGTACAGAACGTTTGTCAGCTTTCGTATGAAGACACCAAGTCCGATTCGATTTTTGGCTGACCTTAAATTAGACCAGGAAGAGGTCGATGCATTGAACAGGCGGTGTTTAAGTCAAGCCAATAGTTAACGCCAAGCAAAGTAGCAGATTGTACCATTTTTCCAATTCCTATTCATTTATTCATTCGTGTATAGATTGTCAGGTCAAAGTTTCAGAAGTAGGCATTGAGGTTCAAGCTGCTGCAATAACAACAACGTTGAGTTACGCCTGCTGCTGGCTATTGCACTGAATAAGCAGCCTTGTGATGTGTCACACGAATTTCAGACCTCTAAGCTCTCACACCAGATGGCATGGCTGAATCTTTCGCTCATTTTAGCATCAGCCCCTCCCGAACACCAAGCTGCCCTGTTGTTCGTAAGCGCACAGTTCCAGGTCAATGCATTTTGGCTTATTATATTTTGATATACCCTTTTTCAACGTTAGGAACAACAGCGTGTATTTCACTACGATTCATGTCGATCAGTAAAGCATACGTGATTATCATATATAAAGCGATCTCCTAAAGGAAAAATATTAAAGATCAGAAAAAATTTAAATAAATTCAATTGCACTTTCGAATAGATGACACTGAATGTGCGGCTCATTTCAGGCTACGGTGACATCGTGTGCCAAACTACCGCTGGACGAACGATTACGATGGCGTACGCATTTTTCGGACTGCCCATGATGCTGATGGTGCTGAAGTCGGTTGGAGACCTGCTGTACAAATTTCTCTTCAAGTGCATGGTGACGAAGCGACGGATGATGCGTTTTGCCCGCAAGCGCATGCCGGTCATGTTTTCGTCGACCAGGCTCACCGCCAGTTCCACATTGAGTACGTTGTCGAAGAGTATGGACGGCAAATCGTCGGTGGTAGCCAGCGAATACGACCCGGAAGCGGCCGGCAACGAACCGGTGGAACCGAGAGACTCAAACCCAATTCGCATACCGGTCACCTTGATCCTGTCCTTCACGTTTGGATGGATATTTCTGTGTGCGGGAATTTTTATGTTATGGGAAGATTGGAGCTACTTCGAGTCCGTTTACTTCTTTTTCATTTCTCTGACCACCATCGGCCTCGGAGACGTAGTGACCAGCCGTCGCAGTTACATGATCATGAACTTCGGTCTGGTGTCCATCGGCTTGTCACTGGTCAGCGTCTGCGTCGCCGTTGTTCAGAATGAGATAGAACGACTTTACTACAACCTGCTACAGAAACTTTTACAGGAGTACAACGTCAAACTGGCAACAGGACTGGGAAAGTCGCAAGCAGGCAGTGACATGAAAAGCATGTGGCAGTCCAACAAGGCAGCAAAGTTTCTGCTGCCTCTTTTAGGGTAAATGTTCTTCGATTTTGTTTCTTAAGTCGGTGTGTCTTTGTGAGAGCAACGGGGTGGCTGAGCGTATCGTAAAACTGTCCTGTTAACCATTAATTCCATTGAGAACGGAACTCACTACATCGTGCTTCGGTGCAACCAGACAAGAAACGTGTGTCGAATCAACTATTTGCAAACATTTGGACGGAGTAGTATTCTGGAATGTCGTGCCAGAAGCTTGGGAAACTTAATGCCAAGCCGTCTGATGGGTGTTCCGTATGGCATCGATGTTCACTCACCCACTTAAGAGTTGACTAACTCAGCGCATTTTAGGCTAAAACAATTTAAATAGGCTCTTGAAGCACATAATCAACTTAATATTTCAGTATATGCACTCATTACTGAACTCATATTACACAAAAGTTGGATTAAACTTATGATGCATAATTAAAAGCAGCAATTTTATTCACCGGAGGTAGAGGGAGCGGGGTGAGGGTTAGCTAGACGTGTTCTTTTTATAAAGAACATTATTATTATCATTATTAAGAACACAAGTTTAATCTGAAATCTTCATCGTTGTCTAAAAAGATTGAACTTTGTTCCCAGCTTCATTTTCCCTATTTCTCATAACGCTGTTTCGCATTTACCATCTGGCCCACATGCCTCAACGTCCAAGCCTTAAAATATTGAAGAACCTTTTTAATTTTCTGAACTTTGAGTTAGGACTTATGTTGGCAATACATATTTCCTGAACTGTACGCGGATTGCATGGAACAACAACAAGAAGGTCGAGAAAGCCATTCACACCAATATCTTGTTGTACATTGAGTAGCTGATTCGCACAACGGTGGACATACTGGAAACAGCTTAAAATATGGTTTGTTTGTATACAACGCAAACAATTCGCAACCTGGCCAAACACCTGATTGACCAGTTCCATTCTTCGGCCCGTGTTCACGGCCCTTCTTCAAGGTATTGAAAAGAATAAGCTTCAGAAGACTTTTTAATCGCCTGTAGCAGAAGGAGAGAATACTGTGTCCATGCTAACGAAACCTCACCCAGCCAATTCAAACAGCAATGTGAAAAGACTCTAAGACATTTGGGATTGTGCAACACGCGGAGCAGGAAAGACACGGCTACCCCCTTCCTCCTGTAATAGTCAGACTGCACCTGCATCTGTGGTTAAACAGGCCCGTCAAAAGGCACATCCAGTTCAGAGACAACCTCAACCTTGACTAGGGATATGAACTGTGAGCAGATTGTATGAGCCTTGTCACCTTTGGCGCCAGTGATCCATTTAAGCTACCAGCAAAGACTGAAAGCTCGCCTTCTGACTCTGAACGTGTGAAATGTTGCAAGGGATTAGACGAATTTCCTAAAGTCACTCACCTGTTCACTTTGACGAAGGATCGTGGCACAAGTGCAAAAACATTGGTCCCTGCCAATCACCAGATTGACAAAATTTATTGCGTTCTGCATAATTAAATTTTTTCAATAACCTATTTATACCAATGAATTGCTATGCAGAAGCTTTCAGACAGTCTGTGTGCTTCCCTACATTTAAATACTTAAATGATTTAGTGGTAGATAAAAGTGGTTATTTGAGCAGCTGGTCATGTCAGATTGGACTGGAGTGTTTTATTTAATGTCTCATCGAGCTGCATATAAACAGTATTATGACAATATCGCATTTGTATAATAACTGCGATTTGTTAGAAGGCTACCGTGAATTAGCCTTATCAAACATGGTAATTAGCAAAACTTGGTCTCATGAGCGGCACGCCTTTATTCTCTAGGCCGAAAGACCAGAAGACCAGACAGAAAGGTCAGAACATGTGATCACGATGCTGCACCAAAGGCTTTCAATGTGGGCTTTCTGAGTGGATGTCAGGCAGGTGATCAGCGAACAACTGGCTCAATTTAATGGCAGCAAAAATACTGTCGTTGAGCTTATATTATTGGTGAAGATTGCAACCATTTAAGAAGCTCCGTGAGGCAGCTGATTCTGCCACTGGAACGGAATGAAGGTCCTTCAGAATGAATGAATGGCTGCCTTGAATAATTGCGTTGTTTGCGAATTAGAAATGTGGTGTGAAAATATTTTAATAAATTAAAATTAAGCGAAAACAGTCAACGGTGTCTCGTAGGGGAATGCATGTCTTGGTGCCTTAAAGAAGCTTGCCGAAAGTTAGTCGTTCTGGTCGCTTTTTCATCCATCCTAAGAAAGGAGAACAGTTGTTTCCAAGCTGACCCTGGTCAACCTGAAACAAATCCAGTTTTTTACAGCAAAGCCGTTGTTTCGTATTTGTCAATTTTTATATATAGGTTTTGACAACTCATCATGTACCTAGTGTTCGCCTCAGTAATACTGCTTGACTGATTGAACCAACGAATTTATTAATCCAGGATAACCGCTGAGGCTCACAAAATAAATTGAAATTAACTTAGTTCGCGAGACGACGCGCTTCCAGAAGGTTTTACACCCAAAGCACATTAATAGAATAGGAGCAGCAACATACATTAGCAAAAAAGTTTTAACATTAAGAATCTGATTCTCCGGGAGATTTGATTTACAGAAGAAGTGTACATTTGACAATGAATCGTCTCCTTAATGTTTGATTGTTTGAAAATGGCCAAGTAATGCATAATAATTTTAGAAAAGAGAAGAAAGTGTCGATCTTGCAGCATTTCACCAACACAGCTGAAGCGCACGGTGTCAAGGTGCCCGATATTTTGAAGGAAATTGACTTGAAACACGGCCTCCCGGCAGTCTTGACCGTCAAGCCGCAGGACGAACGTCTCCAGTCGCAACCAGCTGAAAAGGAGATGGACAAACTCTGCGACTACGGTCTTTTGCGGAATACCCTGAATTTGCAGGAAATTTCGTACCACGAGCAGGGCATTCAGACGACCGACGACAGGCCTTGGTCGAAAAGCGTAGCCAGTACGTCGGTGCAGTCCGAAAGCGGGAAGTTCGAGGACAAATCCGTAGGGGTAGAGGAAGACGCAGCGCTGGTGGCCAGCGAAGAGTGCGCCGTTCAGACCGATGAAGGCCGTGCTTCGGTGGCTGCAGGAAGCCAAACAGATGACAGGGTGGTAGAAGACGCGTCAATCAACACCGACATGGTTGTCCATGAGTCTGGTTCCACGGAAACGGAAACGAACCCATCGGCAAATAACTACACGCAGACCATAAACACGGAATCAAACGAACAAGAGGTCATGACAGACTTATCGGTGCCGTTGGCGAATGCGGTCCTGAAGGTGCAAGAAGAAATGCACAGTGTGGCGACAGAAACCGAAACGATCCTGCTGCCGACAACGGAACCCGAACCTGACAGGTGAGTCTTCTAATTGTTTGCGACTCAAGTGCAATGATGAGTGAGGTTAGTAGCAGTTTTGATGAGGGGATTGCACCAATTCACAGGACCACATCTTTATATGGTACGTCAATATTTCGATTGAATGAATATCTATCATCATTACAAAATAATGGTACCGTGCAATATCTGTCAGTAGTCGAATTCCAACCCGACATAGAAGTTTTGTTTTACTGAACTGCTAATTTCCTTGAGCATGGAGTGCTACGGTGTTGCTAGCCGAAAACGGATGGAAGGATCATGACCTACGAGTATTTAAGACAATATGGCGTTAAAGCATGGTCATGACAAGACTGGAAAGAATTATGAACTTTCTGCTTGATGCGCTTACCTTACGGCTGCTATTACTTTGATCGGCCTGACTGCTGTCTTAAAGTCAGTTCAATGTGTAAACCACAAGTGTGAAAAGAAATAAATTTGTTAATAAACTACTAAACTTCTTTCAGTACAAATCCGTTGGCGATCGACCCGCAAAGCGGCGCCTCATCAGCCTCGCCCACAAGCGCCGCCGCCGTCCGGCCCAGAAGGACAAGTTTCAGTCAAGCGTTTTTGGACGGCATGCAAAACGTCAGAACTGAAACTCCGGGAGAAGCAGAATCACAGCCTCAGATAAGGTAAGAGGAAAGAATTATGAAAACAAAAAGGAATGGCGTTCATTCACAGGCGTAGCCTCACAGAAGCGAATGAAAGCACGGCTGCAAGACGGCGATCAACTCTGGCAAACATTTACCGCCTTACAACGGAGCCAGCCGTCCATCTACCAGTAATTCTTACAGCCGAGGAAGAAACAATTGAATCTCTCGAGCCTCAGCAGTCGCAACCACTTATTTCTCCATTGTTTGACAAGATTCGAAGCATGTCACTGACGATGCAAGACGTTCACCGAAAGTCGACCAAATCGAGTCCAACTGAGCTGAACATAAGGCGAGGGTTGAAGCCAAAAGGTGACAACAGGCGACTTGAGTCGTCGTCCTTAAAGTACAACGAGAACGAACGGCCAGGTAGACAAATCGGACGTTCCTTGAGGAGGGCGAAGACTCGCGACGACCTCGCGTGGAACCCGAGGGACGGAAAGCATGCTGAGAAACAAAGGCCAATACGAGACCTTCTTCGTTTCTACGAAACGATAAATGCGAAGAGTTCCGAGTTGGAAGCAGAAGAAGAAGCTGAAGAGTAATAAGGAAACTGCTCGTCAAACAATACGATGCTGAGCAGCTCATCTCAACTCAGGGGCTGAACCCTCTACAGCAGCTGAACCCCAGGTTCCAGCTGTGAAAAGTCCAGCCACGCTGGAAAAATCACTCCCATAGACCACTGCAGTTTACAGTCTTTTGTAAAGTTAATTTTGCAGCGGTCTACTTCATCGATGGCCTACGCTTAAAGGTGGATTTCAGTGTATCAGATGTAAAATAAGGCTGTGATAAATTAAACGAAGACGCGTTTATAATGCGGTTGTTGGGTGGCGATGTTTCAGCTTATTCATCAAACTGCGTTTCAGTGGGTAGTCACAAGGTGAACTCATTTTTCAAGTCAAAGAACGGTTTGTTCCTTGCCACCACCGAAGTGACTGATCAAGTCCTAGTCCTCCAGTTCTACGCTGGCAAAATCATATCACGTTTTCACACTGTCTAGGTATCAAATCAATAACGATGTTCCCAGCCAATCATTCCATATTGCTTTTCAATCAAGAAAGATTTCTATTAGGTTATCCTAAAGCCAGTACTTTTTGTAAGTACACAGGGAACCGATGATCTCGGATTTACGTGACATGCCAAAAATAAACAGTTGCGAAATGCACGAAGGACGAAACTCAACTTTCTTAGGTCAACAATGACGATGAGAAAGTGTAGTTTTGAATAAGATTTTTTTTATCATGGATGAACTGAATCTTTCGTTTCAAATTAGGGCTGTTAGCTGCATGTAGAAATTTTTCGACGATATTTTTGCCCTTGAAAATAAGAAAATAATAATCGATGCATTGCCAGCAATAAAAAAATTTTATTTCGTTATCAAATTAAATTTTATTTCGTTATTTTACTCCTTGAAAGAAAGTACTCTAGATCGGGTAGTCAGTTTCGATGACCAAGTACCTTTTCCGGTCACAGAGACGCCAGCGTCAGGCAGTGTCTCCCACGCTCCAGATCGTGTATCAGTATTTGAGTCATTTCAGACCAGTCGTGGGGCACAGTTTATCAGGACATTTGAATCAGATCTTCCGCCCCTCAACTGAGCAAGTAGTAGCTATTTCTCCTTTCCTTCTGGAAGCATTCGCAAAATATGCCCAATCCATCACAGTTATGATTTCTCAATCTAGAGAAGCAGCAACTGTACACCAGGCTCTCAACTCCGAATCATGTCGAGACACGTGAGTCGAGAGATTCGTCACAGAAAGCCCATTTCAGCCGCTTTTACTCATGATGACTGTCTTTCAATCATGGCCCACGATTGATGATCATCGGTGAGCATAGGGATGAATCTTGACTTCTACACAGACATCTTAACAGCTTTGTCTTCAGACTCAGCTCCACCTCAGTTACAACTAATGGGAAAAATTCAGGCAATTCGCTTCTGACTCCCCCAATTCACCGATTGATCCTCCTCCCATTTTCCATCACAAATAAACATGACCGTTAAACTTTTCGACATGATCATTGTTCTTCTGCTTATTTACAGAGAGCGTCAGGCATCGGGTCGCGAGAGAGCACTAATGCTTTAGTTTAGATATAT